CCTTTTGGCCGTACGTTTACTTTTAGTATGGTTTCCATGCAATCCTTTATAAATGAGACCCCTGATCTTGGTGTCTAAACTCAGGTTTTGGGATTTGGAAGATCCAGTGGTGACCACTAAAATCTGTTTTAGGTGACGGACATCTTGGCTTTCCAAATTGGCTGTTTTTGACCTCCTTCCAGGTGGATGAAAATATTGTGCTAACAATTAGATCAAATATATTACCTATTTGAAGAATTTAGTCAAAACAAAWTTTTTAAATGTTGCCATAAATTGTCCAGAACATCATGGTGACAGGGCCTAGAGCCAGTTTCATCAGACAGCTGTATGTCAAAGCCTCATGAATCAAGGTAATAATATGACAACACTGCTCTGAAAAATAGATGCGAGTGGGGTTAAACTACTGTAGGTTTATTTAGAAAAGACATCCTGAAATATTGTTTCAAAGCTTCTTAAAGAACTGYTGTGACATACGTCCAGTACTCCTGCACTCTAAAACACACTGAGGAACTATTTATTTACTTTAACACTGCATGTCCCAGCTAACATGTTCACAGTTTGTCATTCAGTAGATGGCTTTATCCAAAGAGACTTTAAGATGAGGAACAACACTAAAGCTTCAACAACTGTAGCAGAGTCTGCTGAAGCATTTAGATAGAAATCTAGAAGGAACAGTTCAGATGGTGCGGGTGCTTAAATGCATTAAAAGTGGAGGTGACGCATGTCTGACGTGTGATGAACTATAAAAAGACGAGTCTTTGTGCACAACATTTCAGCCAAGTTCAGTCTAACCAGATGTTTTCCTAAAAACAGAGGAATTAGAAGTTTATTTATACGTCAGATTATAAAACACCAAAAGTTACGGGAAATCTACAAGATGAATTATTGTTAACTTTTTTTCTTTACAATTTTTATGTAATTATTGACAGAAGTTATTTATTGCAGTTTTTATTTGTTTATTTATTGTTTGTTTCTCATGTTTCAGCTGCCAATTTCTACTGAAGCTAAGAAACGACGTGCACCTAAAGGTACTTCCACACACCTTTTAATAGAAATAAAATGTTTACATCCAATCTAAACAGAGGCGTCAGTGAAGGACAAATACTTTGTTTCTTTACTTAAGTAGAAACGTTGGTCATCTGTACTTTACTGGAGTAATTATTTTGTAGCCCACATTTTACTTTTACTCCTTACATTTTAAAAATAGCCGTTTGTCTGGTTTTCATTCTGGCTTGTTATTGATTTTAAAAACAAATCTATTCAGATACATGGTGCCTCCTGGACAAAGTGAATGTAACTGTGTTTGGATGAGAAGTGTAGACATCATTCTGACACTGTTGGTTTGTTTGATCCATCACACCTGAACAGATCCACCACACTGCAGCTGGAACAGGTAGACTGGTGCAGCTGGAGTCTGAACCCACTGTGGGTCCTGAAACATCAAGACTGGGTCCTGAAAAGATTTTCTGAATTAATTCCATTTAAAAATGACTTCTAACAACATTTTTTTTGCTTTAGTCATTAAAAGAGTGTGGTTAATATACTTAAAATGGTAAAATGGATAAAAGTGGCATAATGTAGTTGTATAATATTGTTACTATGCTCTTGTTTATTTGATCTGTGACCAATGTTAATCCCATTTAAAATTAATTGGGGGGCACGTCTCTGCTGTTGTTRTTTTGTGGGTCAAAATAGGGCTGAGCAATTAATCAGGTTTTGATCTTGATTACGATTTGGGTTTTCAACGATCATAAAAACACAATGATGGAAGTTCGCAGTTTACGCTGCTTTGTGTTGTGAATCCAGTGTCACTGCCAGCACCATGCTGCAGGCTCCTCCCACAGACAATGTTTCACTTTGTCTAATTTTTTTCAAAAACATTTGAAATCCCACGGGAAACTTTGTTGAGCAGCCATCGTTTATGCCCAATAAATTCATGTTAATGAATAATTTTGTTAAATCTAGATTTCAGTTTCAATAAAAAAACAATCGTGATTATAATTTTTTGCAATAATCGAGCAACACTTGGTCAAAAGCTGAAAAGTTTTGGAGCCATTGACTTGGTACATCCCAAATATTCAACATTATTAAATGTTAAATTTAATTTTATGGTCATTTAGAAAAAAGTTTATGTTTTATTTTAGGGTGGAGGTGGGGTTGAGCACTGTAGACCCCTGTGGAGCAGCCTGAGGGTTTTTTTTCCTTAATGCCTTTTTCCCCCCTTAAATTACTTTTACTTTTATACTTTAAATAGTTTTAATATAGTATACTATACTAGTAATATAGTGTACTATATTACTAGTATAGTATACCAGTATACTATACTAGTAATATAGTGTACTAGTATAGTATACTATAGTATACTTTTACACTTGTACTTGAGTAAAAACCTGAGTTGATACTGATCTATTTTGAATTTCATGTCCAAGCAACAAATTCTATTAAATCATCTGAAAAGATTGTAGTTTTATTTTTAACAGTGTACTTCTACAAATGTTTTTGAACCCTAGTATCTGTATTTCTATCAGAGTAATGAATGTGAATACTTTGGACTCCTCTGAATATAAATACTTTATTATTTTTGCTGTCTGTGTCAATTTAATAGTTTGTTTTTGAGGCAACATTGAAGTGTGTGACTGTGATCGGCCTGCAGAGGTCACCCTCACTCTTCTGCTGTTGGAGGATTGTTAACAGGATGTTCTCTCACATCAATTGTTCCTTCATTTTGCTGCCTATGGACTGAAATAAACAAGATGTTTCTCTTCCTTATGATTAACATTTCAGCCCTGTATGAAAGCACTTTGCTACTTGTTTTAATATTATTTTGTAGTTCCCTGCAGTGACTTTTTACAGTGATGAAACCCTCACTGAGGTGTGGTTTATATGATTAATAACTAATGTGCTTACTTATTTAAGGTGGGATAAGTGAGTTATTAAGTAATGTACACAGAGTATTACTTTTTCAAATAATAAGATGCATGGAAGGTGTAAAACCTTAAAGCTTACAGTTTGGAGCGGAGCAGAAACTCCTGGTTTTGAGCTCGTTAAAAAGTTTCTTTGTTCGTTTTAAGGTCTTCATAAGTTTTTGACTTTATTATTTCTTYAGAGGAAACTAAAATCGACACKCACTGATGTGAAAAACAGCTCAAACTGAACTCCAGCAGTAATCGAAGGATCAAAGTTCCAAGAAGAAAAAGAAGCATCTTGTCACTCAAAAGACAAAAACTGGGGTAAAAAAAAAAGTAATAAAAAGTTATTGATCCCTGTTTAATTCAGTCCACTGGCTCCTGCAGGTAAACTCATTCTGTATTTACCTTCATGAAACGCAGTTTGCTTTTTTTAATTCACACACACAGTTAATTATGTTGTGCACATAATGTGTATTAGAGTTGCCAGAGTGCAGCTCAGCATATTTTCTGATTAACACCCAGAACAGTCTGGGAAAAAACAAAACTGAAAGCATGTTCAGTAAAAAACACATCCTTCAGATTTTCAAACTCAAATCTCAGCTTAAAAACACTTTTCTTTTAAAGGGATCCCCGACTAGTTGTAACATTTGACTTAATATGATAAACATACTGTACACTTTAACTGTAAAATAAAGACTGTAAAAATACTGTAGGATGTTCAGTTTTTATAATTTTTAAACTAAAAATTTAAAAATATATTACATGGACGGGGCCATTATATTTACACGCAAAGCATTCTGGGTAAATGATGACATCAACTAGGTCATCGGCATGAGGCTGCTAGCGAGCTATATCCACCCTGAAGGTTAATCTTGGACAATATCTGATGATCGACTCTTTTAAATGAAACCAGAGAGCGTTGACAGAGAGGAGAAGGTAGAAATGACTCAGCCTGTAACTGAAAATATGGATGGAGGACAACAGAGCTGCTTCATGGAAGAAGAACCTCAGTTTAGCCTGTTAGCTTTAGCGTTAGCCCCGACGCTATGACCATATATATGTATTAGCTCAGCGCTACACATTCTCCTCTCGTCACTGAGGTCCTCCATCCACATGACAGAGGGGAACACAAAAATGACTCAGCCTGCAACTGAAAATAAGGATGGAGGACCTCAGTTTAGCTTGTTTGTCACGCTAGCGCCGAGCTAATACATATAAGGCAATATAGTGTGAGGGCTAGCGCAAAGGCTAACAGGCTAAGCTGAGGTTCTTCTTCCATGAAGGAGCTCTGTTGTCCTCCATCCATATTTTCAGTTACAGGCTGAGTCATTTCTACCTTCTCCTCTCTGTCAACGCTCTCTGGTTTCATTTAAAAGAGTCGATCATCAGATATTGTCCAAGATTAACCTTCAGGGTGGATATAGCTCACCTAGCAGCCTCACACCGATGACCTAGTTGATGTCATCATTTACCCAGAATGCTTTGCGTGTAAATAAAATGGCTCCGTCCATGTTAAAATATATTTTAAAAAAATTACAAACTAAACAGCCTACAATATTTTTACAGTCTTTATTTTACAATTAAAACAAATTTTTATCAAATAAAGTTTAATATTACAACTAATCGTGGATCCCTTTAAGATAGTGGACTTTGCTGATTTAAAAAAAGTTTCGGCAACCTAATGTGAGACTAAAAGACGTGACAAGATAAAGGGATTTCTGAAATTTTTCGGGGGTAGAACTTCCAAAATAACTTTCATCCCATTTATTTATTTATTAATTTTTTAGCCTCCACATCTTTTGATCTCAGCATGCCTCTTCTCCACTCTTATCCTCTTTTAACACATGGCTGGCGACACAAGCAAAGGCAAAGCTGTCTTAGCGTTAGCCCGATCACATGCAACAATGACAGAACTCCTGCTCGTCTGGGGGATGAAGTTTTACACCAGGCTGTATGTGGGACACCTCACGCTGGGCTTTTCTTCTCTGCCTCTCTCTCTCAGAGCTCCGGCATGAAGAGAAAGACACTGAAAACACGCGTGACACGCGTGTTTTCAGTGTCTTTCTCTTCATGCCGGAGCTCTGCAGGACCACAGCAGCATCCCAAAACRCCACAATATTATTGCCGTCTCAGCAGGAAAGAAAAAGCGGATTGGGGCTCTACAAATAGAGCCAATCCCAATCGTGACGAGTCGAGCGCGTGGAACCCATTTGTCTTTTTTAAACCTTTGAAACAGACTCCAGTTTTTCCAGTAGATCAGCAGAGTTCAGCTTGAAGCGCTGACGGRTAAAAACAAAAGGAAACAGGAAGATGCTTTGGTGGGATTCACACTGTGTTTTAACACACTAATGAAACCATCTCCCTCCGACAAACTCACAACTAGCTCTTTATTCTGCCATGTATTGACTCCTATTTTTAGCCCTAGAGGAGGAGAAAAGAAAAGGTATTCTCTAAGATAACAGGATTACCAGAATCAAACCTGCTTCAGTTAGAATTACATTTGCCTCCTGGTGAAATGAAACGCTGCTCTCGGAGCAGGGTTCGGGCTACCTCACCACCTCTCTGTAAAGCCGTGCATTGTGCCACTCACTCCATCAGCCTCCCTCGTTCCTTCAGTCGCTCTCCGTTTCCGACACGAGCACCTGGCTTCCAAAAGACATTGTTGCCCTGGCAACAAGAACATCTCAACCTGCCAAGACGTTAAAAGAAATATTAGTGTGAGGTTGAAGTGGGGGGGGGTGAGAGCAGCGTTCGTAATGCAAAACTTGCTTACAAGGTGACATTTAGAGTCGTTAAATGGATTATAGTTCAGCCCGGGGTTGGTGAAAGTCATAGCATTCAAGAGTCACATCAAAGAGTCGCTGCTGACTGCAGAGGAGGGCCTCTTCCTGGCTTATTTAGTCATGTGTCAGATTAAAATCAAAAAGAGCTGCATGCACACGTATAAAGGTTTCAGTCTGAGCTGTCTGCTCCACAGTGAAAACCGGCTAACAAGCAAATATTTCCAGTGTGTCTGGTGAATTGACTTAAATTTAGCGTGTGGATTTAGGTTGCAGTGTGTTGCTGTCAGATCAGAGACGTACTAAAGACTGCAAAAGGAGGGCACTTACAGAATGAATAATTCAGCTGACAACAAGCGGAGCTGCTGAACGAACAGCAAAACTCAGCGAGCCTCGGATTTTCCTCAGATCTTTTCAGTTAATGTTTTCATCTCGTGTTTTTTTCTCCTCCACCCAGCACCAGAGCTTCCTATTGTGGAGAGAAGAAACTGGCTGATCCACCAGCACTATCTCCACAAGGACTATGAGACCTGTAAGGTAAAGTGTACTCTTTTTCGTCCTGATGCATCTCAGTAATCCAGGTAAAAAATCAAAAAGAAGCAGACAGGAAACACAGACAGGATTCCATGCAACCTTCAGGTGAAAATGAAGACCCCAAACCCAGACCCAAACCAGTGGTTCCATATGTTGCGGGTGTTTTGGAGAAACTGAGACGTTTATTTTCTAAACATGATGTCCCAGTGGCTTTCAAACCCCAAAACACATTATGGCAAAGGCTGGTTCACCCCAAAGATCCGGTGCCC